ACAGATGCCTACATTCCTCACTCAAGCTGGGGAGCACAAGAGGTAGATGAACCTAAACCTGCTTCAAGCTGGGGAAATGCACCCCTTCCCCATCTGTGTATACTGGAGTGGCAACTACCATGGAGAGGCATTTCTCACATGGCCCAAAGCTGCTGTGGTGAGAGAGGGCTGAGGTAGTCCTGTCTCCTTGGGGCAACCTGCATACTGAATCCCTCATTCTCAGCCCCACTCCAGAGCAATGATTCAAATGAAACAAACATTAATTAAGGACTGGAGCGATTCCAGGTAAATCTTCTTGTGCATTATGTACTGAAACGTAAGTTCAATATTCATATTCCAATTGATTTATTTAATATTATGGTAAAAATGAGAAAATAAGCCATTTTTCAGTAATAGTGTGCTGTGACACTTCGTATTTTATGTCTGATTTTGTAAGCAAGTAGTTTTTAACTAAAGTGTCTCTTGGGGGTACACAAGACAAACCAGCCCACTTGAAAAGAGAACAGTAGTCTGCAACAGTTGAGAGCTCATGGCTCTCAGTGCCCTACACCACCACTCTGGGAAGAAAGAAGCGGAGAAGCAAGGATTAGCAAGGGTGACAAAGCATCTTATGTTTCTCATTATCTTTTGTTCTTGCATCTCACAACCTTCCTGTATCCTCCTCTAGTTTGTCATCCTGTGCTGTGTTGTATCTTAGATTAGGTCCTGGTCATGCAAGTTGATCTAGTTAGATCCAGTTTTAGGATCAGCACCATAAACATCTTGGAGCACGTACACATCTTTGCTATTTGTACGGCATCTTGGTGTTGTAGATGTGAAATAGCTATGAAGTATGGTTTACGATACAATGATATCTGTTTTCTAAGAGTACTTCTGGAAAGCTATATAATTACTATTAGACATAGTAGGATGTGGACTTTGACATAACAGCAGGTCTCTGTGGGTAACAGCAGTTCATCTTCGCATGGTTTCCTTACTGTATCTATTAAGTGTGGGCAATTACAACTGCATAACCACACAAGCACCACTGTGCCTTCTCCTTTATGTTAGAAGATCCGTCTCAATATCAGAATAAAAGCCTAAGGTTTGAGAGGCTCTTCCACCCACATTAGCCCCTGCACATTCAATAGCTCAACATAAATACCTGAAATCATGATGTTTATAATTTTTAAAATCCTATGACTGTGAAATTGACCAAAATGGATTGAATTAGGTAGGGCTCTAGCTATAAGAAATACTGAAGTAAGCTTCACCCATCATCAGACAATATTCAGCTGAGAATTCTATTGGTACCACGAAAAGAAAAGAAAATGTGAAGTACATACAAATGTCCTGTTCCTACTTTGGAACCAACTAGCAAAGACCTTTTCTGTGTGGAGTCTTGGTGACTCCACTGGATCTGGTATGGTGATTTTCATTCCGATATAAACATGTATTTTTGCCATACTTTTAAAATTTCATAACAATGGACCAGTTTTGTGAGGGATTTCTTTTATAAATTGATTTTGTCCTTCTAATACACATTGAAATAGATATACAATCCACACTTTTTAACTTATAGAATTTATTTTTGATACTCTCATTTATATTTCAATGCTAGCACACAAAAACCCCTGTGTGAAATGCTGCCATTTAATATTTCTCTCTGCCGGCAAGTTCTGCAGCATCCTGCTGAGTGTAAGTGGGGGAGGGGGGGAAGAAGAGGTCTGACATTTGATCTTACTGTATATTTGTTGCATGACATTAGATGGTTTCTTGGGGCTGCCATGCCAACCTAGGGTGTTGCTAGACAGAGTAAAAAACAGATTTATCTGAACCAACATAGGGGAAAACATCAGCTCCAGTGAATGATTCTAGTGAGCTATCCTAACACAGAGAGACCACACCACCAGCACTTAAGCAAACTTCTTCAGGGTACTAACATTAATGGTCACAGGTAAATATTGGGACATAAGCCTGGCAGGTGCTGCGTGGCTCCTGAGAAGTGCCCAAAATATCCATATTTATTTATGTTAGAAATGGCAGGAAT